TGACATACCAACATTTTTGACGCTCTCTGTAATTGCCTTCACACTCGGGTGATTTGTAAATTAATCTCTCCTATGGTCATAACAACGTGGAGCATCAATGTGTTTACCGATATTTATGAAATAGTCATTGAAGATGCTGGCAATCTGCCGTTTGTCAGTTATTATTTGTTCATCCTCCTTCAGAATAATGTCTTTGGCCGTACTAGTATGCTTGGAGTGGAGAAAGGGTCGATAAACGTCTTTTAATTCACACAAACAAGGAGTGAATAAAACCCCGTACAAAGCACTTTCCATGTCGTGAGCTGTTTATTGCACATAACACACGAGAATTTCAATGAAATCATTTTCTGAATGCAAATTAGAAACAAAAACTCACAACAATGCAAATTTAATGGCTATGGAAAATATTGCAGTACATATACATCAAGGGAATAAAGTACTGAACGGAAAACTGTACTTACAAAAGTTTTTTTTTAAAATCTAAGTATGATATCAATAACGTAATTTGAGCAAAGGCCAAATTTTGCGAGCACTTTTAAATTGAGAATATGAGCATGCAAGCAGTTGCAAACAATTTTGTGAGCACTAGTAGGCGAGTGTCCATGTAATTCTTTTGAGCAATTGTATTGATTATACTTTGACACTTGAAAGAGCTTTACGCCATTCTGATTGGCTGTATAGGCTTTTTTCACATGTGAAAATAAAAGCGTATGGATTTCTACAAATGAGCTTTATGGGATAAAGTTCTTATGTTGTGTGTAATAAAGCACTTTACGGTACGGTTACACAATTACAAAGGGGAGGTGGGCGTGCGAAAGTAAAATGACGAGGGTCAATCTGATCACTCGTTTTATTTGTCGTTAGATTTCTTTAAGAAGGGCGTGGGATTGTCTGATAGTTTTGAGTAAGGGCTTAAAGTTCCTTATTCGGTCAAGATAATCTGAACAGTGGACCTGATTTAATTTAATTTTTTTTTAAATTTGGATCTCTTATACTCACAAGTCTTTTATCATTCTCCTGTAAATAGTCAAATTTTATGAGTATCATGTTGATTAGTGTTGCTATTTTATTGGTGTCCCCATTTAGTCCATCTGGGTTAAACACACTGGCTCTTAATAAAGGTTTTACTTCTTACGAGAGGAAATGCTAAAAGCACTCAGACAAGGGAGATGACAAAACGTGGAGCCTTACTCCATGGAGTACCCTATGAAGTACCTATAAATGGAGTTCCCCTAAAAGTCATGTATTAGTTAGATAAAATGATTTATAATAAAATACTTTATAAACATGGTTAATCGTTTAGTTATACAAATCGCAATGTATTTTGAGCTTGCCAGCAGTATGATTGTCACAGTGCAATACAGTCCACGAATTGACTGCCATCTTGAATTTGACACTAAACTGCTGGCCACTTCTAATGGAAGGCTTAAATGTAATCCATGAACGTTTTCTTTAATGGGCTGATTACAGTCATCATCTTATGATCTTCACGAGGCTAAAAGTACAGACATACTTCATGCGGCAGCAGGTTTCACATCTTTCAAAATACCTGTTTATTTAGGGTGTCTGCAAGAGGTGTGGGGTTTAATCTATCAACACAGGGCAACCCTAAATGGCGGAATGGTGGAAAACGATCTCAAATCCTAAAATCTGGAACAATGGAAAGTGACCCCAAATCCTAAAATCCAGAACGGTGGAAAATGACCCCAAATCCTAAAACACGAAAAGGATGACAGGGCATGTTGCACAAATTTTGTACAAAGACAGTCAAGCACTTGGCTCATTTATTCTCATGACGATAATGTGCATGACCAAGCTTAGACTAGCTTGAGAGCAATAGAGGTTTGCATAGGGTCATGCACATGGGAATTTCTCATGGTGTGAGAAGACAAAAGGAATTTAACAGAAAGAACCCGATAAATTAGCTAATGGACGATTAAGTGATAATTCAAACCAAAGAAGTTCAGATATTGTATCGCTTGTCCTCTTCTTAGTTTTCTGTAAGGTTAGCTGAATTTACAAAGGCATAATGATTTAGAATGTGCAGTTAACTAAAGGTGAAAATCGTACAACGCCTCGATTGATTTATTGGGAATTGATTGTTAGGCAATGAATGAGAAACAAACCGAACATCCACAGCATGATATTACACATTATTACCAGCAAAGATAATTTTTTTCTGGTATTGACTTAATATCTGCAGAAGTTATCCTCCTAAGGGGAAATAAGTGTGGGTACACTTGATTTTTATTTGGCTCTCTTGATCCCTTGACCTGCCTATAATTCCGTCTTTTAGGCTTTAGGGTAATTTTCCACCGCTCCGTCTTTAAGGAGTTGCCGCTAGCAAATGACTGGAAAAAGGGGGTCAAATCCAAGGGAAATTGGGTTTTGTTTTTAAGTTCGAGTAAGGGGGGGTTTTGAGTTCACTGGGTTCGAGTTAGCGGGGTTCTACCAACAGGATCTATTCTCACCCTGCAAATTAGCTGAATTAGTGAAATAGCCTCTCTTTTGTACAGAAAGTTTATTTCTTCCACTGATATGTAAGCCATAACTTTCAAAGTAGGATGGTGGTGTTTTGGACACCTGGTCACAAAGAAATTCTTCAAATTCTTCTTGACGGCTTCCTTCTGTTAACTTTCTTTTGTCTTCCCATGCCATGAGAAATTCCCATGCCCATGACCCCATGCAAACCTCTCTTCAACTCTCACACTAGTCTAAGTTTGGTCACATGCATTATCGTCATGGGAATGAATGAGCCAAGCACTTGACTGTCTTTGTACAAAATTTGTGCAACATGCCCTGTCATACATTGTGTTTTAGGATTTGGGGTCATTTTCCGCTGTTCTGGGTTTTAGGATTTGGGGTCATTTTCCACCGTTCCGGGTTTTAGGATTTGGGGTCATTTTCCGTCATTCCAGGTTTAAGGATTTGGGTTTACTTTCCGCCATTCCGGGTTTTAGGATTTGGGATCATTTTCCGCAGTTCCAGGTTTTAGGATTTGGGGTCGTTTTCCACCATCCCGCCGTTCTGGCTTTTAGGGTTGCCCATCAACACAAGGACTCATGGGTTTCTAAATTTTGTGAAGTGATGAGGATATAAGCTAGGACTTAAAAAAAGTAATTCATGTGTTTAAACTGACCTCTTCACCCATCTAATGGGTAATGAAATTGAGATATATATAAAGCAACTTAAAAAAAAAGATGGATAAGTCAGCAAATACATTTGGCTGGGGTGCTTGATTTGGAAAATTTAGTAAGGTTAAATATTTCACCACTTGCAGAACTCGAAATTAAGTGGGTTTTGTTCATTTTATGGGGTTTTTTTATCTTCCAGTCAAAGGACTCATTACACAGCGGTAAAACAAAAATGGAGGAAGCAATAAGACTGATAGCCCCCTGCCCCCAAAAAAACCTGGACTGTATCAAACTGTTACAATCGGATAGCTGGCAAGCTCAAATTGTATTCAGATATCTACATCTGTATGATTTACCATGTTTGTAAAGTATTTTATTTGACCAATACATGGTTTTTAGGGTGCTCCATTTAGGTACTCCATAGGGTACTCCACGGAGTAGGGTTCCGCCTTTTGTCATCTCCCCTAAGACAAGCTTACCTTCCTCCCCCATCCCCACAAATTTACATTTTTGGAGGTGCTGTTTGCAGTATTCTGGGATGATTGTTTCTTCAAAAGCTGAGGATTTGAAAGACAAGCTTTGAGAAGTTTTCGTCAAAAACACTAAGAAAGGGAGACATGACCCATAAGCCTTCTTGGATTTGCCCATTGGACATACCTATCCAATCTAGACCTAACTTAACAGATGTATTTTTGTTTGTGTTATAGCTCAACAATATTGAAGAATTTGCAATCCACATCTGCAGTCATTTCCTAACAACACATAAACAGGTAAATTAACTAGTATCGTAGAGTTTATTTTTGTAATTATCAAAAGATGATCATTGCAACAGATTACTCATTGTTCTTTGTTTCCTTATCCAGGTAGTTCATGTCACTGTTAACATTGATGAGTCACCTTGGAAACGTATCCAACAGGTAAATAAAAGTGTACACTTGGGGATTTTATGGTAGTAAACTGTAAACTCTTAAGAGTGAAAAGTAGGTGGATTCGTTCTACAGACAGTTACATTTATAGAGAATTAACAAAACTATTAGCTTAGATATTTTGTTCTGAGTTTCGATCAGTATAAAATGTATTTCAGGTCAAAATGGTTTCATTTCACAACATGAACACTAAGTTCTTGAGAATAGCACAGCTAGTACAGAGAAGACTGAGTATCGTACTGATTTTCAGTTAAACCCTTGAACTCCCAGAAGCAATTAACCTGTAACTTCTCCCTATAATATCCATACATTATCCAACAAACAGGTAATGAGAATACTCAAACTTAGCAGGTAGAAGTTGTTCCCTTGGTTGAACACCAAATTCTTGTAACCAATTTACAAGGAACTGTGTTGTAGCTAGAGCGAAGAATTAACAATTAGATCTTGAAAGTGAAAAGGTTTAAGGAATAGCTGAGACCCTTTACACTCTAATATCAGCATGCATATTCTCCATACTGTTCTCTATACATTTCCTAAGATGCTGACAAGGAGAATTTGGTTAACAATCAAGAACTTCCTGAGGTGATTATGATTTCCTTAATTCTCATGACCTTAATGTTTGATTAAGGGGTGATATTGTAAGGAGAAATGAGATGCCAATCACTCTTAGGGGTCAAAGAGTTTAAAACTTATGGGTGACCAGCAGAGGTGGATCCAGGAATTTTTGATTGGGGGGTCCAAACTTTGGTTCAGAAAGGACTGTTGGACTCTTTGAGGCAAATTACTTCTCCCCCACAACCCTACCACCAGTTACGGTTGCACATTATAATTCCTTGGCGGCTTACCATTTATTTGGATTCATTAAAAAAATCAGCCAGTTAAAAGTGATATACGATCCTGTCTCAAAGTTGTAAGCGTCAGGTTTGATCAGAGACCCTCCCCCTGGATCCGCCACTGACCAGCATCTAATTTTTCCTTTCAGTAATAGTGCTGATTAGGCAGAGGCATTATTCAGATCATAAAAAGAAAGGAAATGATCACTTCCTTAAGAAGCTCTGATTGCTATATGGATTCTCTCTGTCCATACCAAAGGAAATGTCTAGAGAAGAGTATGGAGAACATGGACGCTGATGTTGGGTGGGGTGAAAGGATTATATGTTGCTCATGCTAGAATAATTTCCATATCTGTATTATTAATTTGGTTGATTTTTTCTTCTAACAGAAAGGTGTTGACCATGCCCATGCATTTATTCTTACTCCAGATGTGACAAGATTCTGCTGCGTTACTCAAGCAAGAGGAGGTGCAGATATGTGGTTATACTCTTAACCTCTTGTAACATTGACATTTTGTGGTTAAAATGAGCTGTTTGATTTCTAGAATTTGTGCCTTTGTATTCAGCAATGATAATCTTAATTATGTCATTATTACTGACAGATCCATATGTTTTATACATGTAACTGTAGTCAATCCTAATGATATGTATTTTACTGTTCACTCCTGACCACATCACTTCTACATTTTTTTAATTATTTACTGGTTAATATTGCAAAAAATAAAATTTTTTGTTTGTTTTGAGAACATTTTTTTTTTACCCAGAAATTTTTTTTGTTAGTACCAGTAATTAAAATACTGAACTTTGTAAAACAGTATTTATTGGCTGTATGTAGCTATGTATGTATGTATTTACGAATATTTATACAGGGTAGCCCAGTTCAGCTAATAGCTGGTTTAAATGGGGCCCTGTAATAACCCACCCATCCCACCCCAGGGGAGGACATCC